GCTCAGAACCTGGCATTAAAGTGGTCCTTAATACAGGCAGCGCCTGTGGTTCAGTGGGTAGGAAGCCAGCCCCATATACCAAGGGTGATGGGTTCGAACCTGGCCCCAGCCAAACTGCAACAACAGAAAAATAGCCAGCCATTGTGGCAGGCACCTGTAGTCCCAGCTACTTGGGAGGCTGAGGCACGAGACTCACCTAAGCCCAGGAGTTGGAGGTTGCTGTGAGCTGTGATGTTGAGCACTCTATTGAGGGTGATAAAGTGAGACTCTGTCCCTCAAAAAAAAAATTGGTACTCGGGCGGTGCCTGTGGAGTAGGGCATCAGCCCCATATGCAGAAGGTGGTGGGTTTAAATCTAGCCCAGGTCAGAAACTGCAAAAAAAAAAAAGTGGTTCTTAATACATGCTAAGTGTGGGCAGCACCCAAAGCTCACTGGGTAGAGCACTGGCCACATCCAGGATGGCAGGTTCAAACCCGGCCTGGGCCAGCTACAACAGCAATGACAACAACAGCAACAAAAAAAATAACTGGGCATTGTGGCGGGCGCCTGTAGTCCCAGCTACTTGGGAGGCCTAAGCCCAAGAGCTGGAGGTTGCAGTGAGCTGTGATAGCTCAGACTCTGTCTCAAAAACATAAATAAATGTTAAGTGTGGTGGACATATTTTTCTCTGCCTTGGGGAAGCCTCTCCATGTTCTTGATCATGGTGTTTGGTCCCCTTCTCTGTGTTACTTTTAGAGACCCAACACTAAGCTATAGTTCAGAACCAGAGTGTTCTCTGGGATTAAAAGTGGAGACAGAATAATATTGTTTTATTAATGGGGTTGCTAAAAAAGGAGCTAGTCAGTCTAGGCTGCTGGTGGAGACAGCTGCAGATGGAAGAAAGCCAAGCCGAAACAAATAGCTGGGAGTTGGGGAGAGATGACATTGAGATGTTGGCCTCCAGTTCATACTGTGAACCAACAAATTCCTTTTTGGTTTAGCTCAGCTTGATTTAGATTTCTGACACTTGGAACAAAAAGAGGTCTAACACAGGAAGTTTCAGAATTTATGAGTATTGGTATTCCCATCACTCTACACAATTTTTATTTTTTTTTAAGAGACAAGAGTCTCATTTTGTCACCCTTGGTAGAGTGCTGTGGTGTCACAGCTCATAGCGACCTCCAGCCCTTGGCTTAGGCCATTCTCTTGCCTCAGCCTCCGAAGTAGCTGGGACTACAGGCGCCCACCACAATGCCTGGCTATTTTTTTGTTGCAGTTTGGCCAGGGCAGACTTTGAACCCATCAGCCTCAGTATATGGGGCCAGTAACCCTACTCACTTAGCCACTCACTACACAATTATTGAATGCCTGCGGCTAGGCGCCAGCCACATACACCTAAGGTGGCGGGTTCAAATCCAACCTGGGCCCGCCAAACAACAATGATGGCTGCAACCAAAAAATAGCCAGGTGTTGTGGCAGGAGCCTGTGGTCCCAACAACTTGGGAGGCGGAGGCAGGAGACTCACTTGAGCCCAGGAGTTGGAGGTTCCTGTGAGGTATGCCACAGCACTCTACCCAGGGGGACAGCTTGAGACTCTGTCTCAAGAAAAGAAAAATAAAAAGAAAAGAACACATTCTTTGCACTGCAAGAAGATCAAAAATATGGTAAGAAGGGGATGAAGTCAGGCTGGTGAAGTAACAGGGACATCAGGGTAGCACGGCCTGATAAGGCCATATTAAAATGCTTGGACTTCATCTTGAAAGCAATGGAAAACTAATGAAGCTTTGACCAGATTTGTCTTTAGAAAGATCTCACCGGCCATCTAGGAAGTGAATGGCAGGGAGGAGATTGACTACTGTTACCAAGAGCTAGGCAAGCAATGGTGGTAGCCTAAGTGATAGTGCTGAGTGGCCATAGAGAGGCGGGTGGAACAGCAGGAGACAGAAAGCAGCAGGGCATAGTGAGTAATCAGAGGTGGAAAAGGAGCACCAGAATTCTCAGCTCAGGCCCCATCCTTGAGATGGGGAATACAGGAGGACAAGATATAGACTCATTAGTTTAGGGCAGTGTCAGTTCAAAGTGTTTGAGATATCCAAGCATAACTGTCAATGGGAATATGCTATCACTGTTGAGAGTCTTGCTCCTATGCTCAGCACATAACAATATTCTAGATTATCTTTGTGCCTGTGTCCTTTACCTCACCATGCCTTAGTTTCCTCATCTGTAAAATGAGGATGATAACAGCATCTGCCTGTAGGGGTGTTGGGTGGGTGAATGAGACAATGCCTGCAAGGCACAGGGCACAGCATGCAGGAGGCACTCAATAAATAGTGATGATTACTAGACCCCAGCACTGATCCTGGCCGGAAATAAAAAACAGGAAACACACAAATGGGACAAAAAGAGTAGAGAACAGGACAGAGATGGAGAGGAAGAATTATAGCAATGGATGTGCCAGCAGCAGAGTTCAGAGTTTCAAGAATGATCAATAATAACAATAATGTCCATCAACCAATGAGTGAATAAAGAAAATGTGGTATTGGCGACACCCAAAGATCAGTGGGTAGGGCGCTGGCCACATACACCCAGGCTGGCGGGTTCAAACCCAGCCTGGGCCAGCTAAAACAACAGTGATAACTGCAACAATAACAAAAAAATCACCGGGCATTGTGGTGGGCACCTGTGGTCCCAGCTACTTGGGAGACTGAGGCAAGTGAATTGCTTAAGCCCAAGAGTTTGAGCTGTGAACTAAGTTTTGCTGTGATCCATGATGCCATGGCACTCTATTGAGGGTGACATAGTGAGACTGTGTCTAAAAATAAAAAATTTAAAAAATGAATGAAATATATCCCATGTTCTCACTTATGATTGGGAGCTAAGCTATGGGTACACATGGCCATAGTGGAACGACAGACATTGCAGACCCCCAAAAGTGGGAGGCAGGTGAAGATGAAAAATTATATATTAGGGGCCAGTTGCAGTGGCTCACGCCTGTAATTCAAGCACTCTGGGAGACCAAGGCTGGTAGATTGCTTGAACTCAGGAATCTGAGACCAGCCTGAGCAAGAATGAGACCCTGTCTCTAAAAAAAATAGCCAGGCATTGTGGTAAGTGCTGGTAGTCCCAGCTAATCTGAAGGCTTGAAGCAAGGCAATGGCTTGAGCCGGAGAGTTAGAGGTTTCTGTAAGCCATGATGCCATGGCACTCTACTCGGGGCACAGAGTGAGACTAAAATAAAAAAAAAAAAAATTACATATTAATACAATGTATACCCTTCAGGTGATTGGTACATTAAAAGCCCAGACCTTGGGGCGGTGCCTGTGGCTCAAAAGGGTAGGGCACCAGCCCCATATGCTGGAGGTGGCAGGTTCAAACCCAGCCCTGATAAAAAAAAAAAAAAGCCCAGACCTTACTGCTACAGAATATATATATGTAATAAACTTCACTTGCACCCTCTAAATATATAGAAAGAAAAAAGAATTATGATAATGATTTTAATAGTAGCTAGCATTTATTTTTTTTTTTTTT